AAATGCTTAGACATTGTCCCTTTACCCTCTTCTGGAAGGAAATAAGAGAGAAGATGACATAACAATATGTACCTAATTCATTGAAACATATTGAGTCAAGCTGTACCCTTTCATGAAATTTATAGGCTTCGCAGCAGATTAAGACTGGCACATGGAATGCATTAGCAACCATGGCAACACCTGCAGTTCCCACTCTAGAATATACAGTTCCATTAGACAATACTGCAGCAGCCCCCAGAAAAACTCGTGTTACTTCGTGCATCACGTAAGAAATAGCATTTATATGAGTGTAGGTACACTTTAGGCCGCTTGCTATTAGCCTACGAAGCAATGCTTGCCCTTCCAGTTTTGGTCGGGAATCCACCACCACAACACGGAATTCTTTTCCGAGTTCATGTGCATATAATAGAAGCATCTCTACAGCACATGATGATCCATATGTGAGAAGAACATCTCCATCCCTGATTTTAGTAGCAGCATGTCTAACTATGACCTCATCTGCAATGATAATCTTCTCATTGATAAAGCGATCAATATCTGAGCAAAGTGTAGCTTTTACTTCAGATTCCAGAAGATTCACTGGTAATTTGGCAATGCGGTTCTTCAGAAACCTAATTGAATTTCCCATGCTAACAGACAGTGGCCTGCACTCGTTGAAGAATGACACATAGCCACCAATTTTTGCAGTTAAATCTCTACCCAGAGATTTCTGTGGCGGAGTTGAGTAGTCTTTGATGGCCTGTTGAAAGGCATGAAGCATAGCAATACAGCGAGCATTGCCTCCACATATATCTCCGGCCATATATTGTAAACCAACCTGATAAGAGTATAGGTATGCGACTAAATTAGACAAACACTAGTCAGAAAATTTATCAGAAATACTATAAATTGACGACCATATGTATATATATATATATATATATATATATATAATAAAGAGGCCATCCATACGTTTAAATCATCATGTTAGAGTGTATAAAGTCCCATAAAAACAAAACTATCGTCATAGATCATCAATATGAAATCTTAAAACATAACAGTTCTAATCAAACAGGGGCGAAGCTATGAGATTTTCATCTGGAATGGGAAAAGTAAGAATCTTGAGACAAAACAAAACTGTATTAGGTAGTTTTCAATAAAAAAAAAAAAAAAAAAAAAAAAAAAAAAAAAAAAGGAAAAAGAAAGAGAAAACAACCTTGTAAATGGCAGGATGAATGGTGTCAAGTTGGAAAAACTTCGACACAAGATCAGGAAGCTGAGTTCCCTGCTCATATTGAGGCAAATGGCGAAATAATTCAACCCTATTTCGAGCTTCAGTTTGGTTGAAAACTGCTCGTTTTTTAGCCTTTTCTACCCTATTTTTATCATCAAACTGCATTCGTGGATGGGGCGCATCTTTCTTCCTTTCTTTATCAAGTGTGCGATCACCTCCTCTTTTATCAGTAGATGCAACCGAAGGTGCAGCAGTGCTATCTTTCATAGCCGAAGGCTGCTTCACAGTTTTACCAGGAGCAGTACCTGACTTATTCGTCTCACCTTTTAGAGAACCAATAAACATATGAAAAATTAAGAAAATAAATAAATAAATAAAACAAATGAACTAGTAATTATATGAGCCCTCAAAATTTTTCTGTCACATAAAAATCCAAAGAAAGGGAAAAAGGATAATTATTAGCATTCATAACCAGATAGAATGACCCGTTAAAACAAATTACCCATGCAATAGCAAATCCAGAAATTAGAAATTTTTAAGAGCACGAGTCAAGGAGTGTACAAATACTTCCATGTACAATGCACTAAACTAATTCCACTTAACCCTCTACATTTCTTGATTCAAAAAGTGTTCACTTTCTAGCAAGATAATTAGCAATATAGTTCATGGTACATTTCAAATGATTGAAATGGAATAAAACCTTTTGCAGAAACTTTTGCTGCTCGTTGTGCCTCCTGCAGAGCCCGTCTTTCAGCCTTCGTTGTTTTTGCCTTCAGGGATTTTGAACTTGATGGCGGTGGTTGATTTTGCACCTCTGTGGGCACCCCTCCATTATTTTCTGCAAGAGCAAAGTAGTAGAAATGAGAACCTAGTAACCCAATGCACGTTCCATAAGAAAGTAAATTTGGATGTTCACAGCCATGCAGAATTTCATTGTTGTTTTCCCTTTTAATCCCTCATTCTAAGAAATGTTTTGGCTCCTCGATATGAACGGAGTTCAAAATTGGGCACTATAACCAGACCATGCAAGCATGACAGAATCAGAAAAAAATTGACAAGTTCCAACAGAGAAGTAGAATAGTTGATGATGCTTTACAGTCGTTATTGCTAGTTCTACATAATGAACAATTTTGTCATAGTTTTATTGAATTCATAATCTCCAAAGCATCATCCAGTTAGCCCTTTAGGACAATGTACCAACTCCCGGTGATTCCCCTTCCTTTACTCTTTTCAATTCCATACCTCTTTCTTGAAGAACCATACAATTCCATAGTTACCCTGTCCTTTCTTTTCTTCATGATCCTTTCTATTTTCTTCTCCGAACTCTCTCAAACAATAAAACTGCGCAAAGTTCAACTCTAAACAGGGAAAATGGTTCTTCATTATCCATTAAACGTGAATCAAAGGCTCATACAAACATTTATTTAAATAAAAAATCTTCTAAAATTAAAACAAGGCCCCTCTTTCTAATTACATCAACCTTGAATGTGCATTCATGATCTGGTGGTAGCACTCTTGAGAAAACAATTAACTAGCACAGAAAAGTAAGAAACTCCACTAAAATAGGAAATGCATACCATTGTATAAGCGATATCAGTATGAACAAAATAACTAAAATATATTTAGTATGAGAGTTTGGCACAGGGCAGCAGTAGGAAGTCATCTTGGGTTAGCTTGAAGTTCGACTATACAGGGGTTTTTTGCGGATATCAGAATCTGAAATGAGATTCTAGCCTGCTATTTATAAATAGCTATAACTTACAATAAGCATACCCATTTTTTCCTTTCTTTTCTGTTATGGTAAGAAACTAAATTTCAACAACTAAAAGGAATATACAGAGGAGAGGACACGATATTCTCCCAAAAAGCACTATCCCCTCAAAAACACACTCCAATTGGCAAGGATAGCAGCCAAAAAATAAATGCAGAAATGTTTAGAAAGGGAACTAAATGAAGAGAAAAAAACCATACCCAGTCCAAAAAACATAAAAGTTCCTACCCCTTCCATCAATATCCTAGCTTCTATCAATCCATATACCCCAAAAATATAGCTATAGAGCAACTGAAAGTTAAACTCTGGCCTTCAATCTGCCTTCAAAAACTTGTTTAATGAAGTTAGGAGAGCTTCTCGGAGACGCCAGTAAAAGCTGAATGTATCCAAACAAGAAAAGAAAAAAATAAACAAAAAAAGAGCACCGAATGGATTCAGTAAAGTGCAAGACATGGAAACACGGCCACAGCCCCATCTTCCAACTGATATGAAAAAGAAATGCATAGCAGAAAGCGTAATAATTAGATGTATAAAGTCAATGCTGCACTAAAATGCTGCACCTCAAAAAGGAAAAGTACAGACTCAAAATTGGCACACATTAACAAAATCCCCCTTGCATCAAAGAAAAGGGGGAAATAAGTAAGGATTAGGAATGCAGTATCACCTGCAACTCCAGAAGGCTTATTAGGTCCCAGCGTCCTGAGAGGCACCGCCTGCGAATTCTCAGACGACTTAGCCGCCATGTGGACTCCAAGGCCAGGAAGGCTCGACGCAATCTTCCCGGAACCACTCCGGCGATACGGAACGGAGGTGGAAGAATCCTCGGACATCTCCAGCTCATCGTCCCAAATTCTACTCGAAGGAGAAGTCGCAAGCAGGGTCTGGGAAGGGTTATAACTGCCAACATGAATCTGATCACCGGAATTCCTCCAATTGGCCGGAGTCGGAACAGGAAGAATAGTAGAGCGTGAGGCAAAGTTATCGGAGAGATGACGAGGAGGAGGAATCATGACCGGAGACAAGGGATCGGTGGGAGGAGAGAGGGATTGTTGAGAAGAACCAAAGCCGACCGGACCGGATAGGGAGCGTCCGGGGGGGTTTGGAGCGTCGAGGGTGAAGAATCCGACCTGACGAACTTTGGGTTTGACGACGCGGGATCCTCGCCGAGCATCCATGAAGACTTAACGCGAATAATATGGCATCAGAATTACAAGAATCCACATAAACAGAGAAAGAGAAGAAATGGGTTCACTGCAGGGAAGCTTAATTGGCAGCTTCTGTAGCGTCCGCCATAGCCACAGCCATAGTCAACTGAATCAGAAGAACACAGAAAGGAAGCAAGGGCTTATCAATCGCTCGCGTCTGCTCTACTTTCATCTTCTCTTCTTCTTTTACCGCCACGAGTCAATCAATTTTAACATTACCCAATTCACAAATTTTGTTAAATCCTAAAGTAACACTATTTTCATTTCATACAAAATAATTTTAAATAATTAAAAGTATATTTTCAAAGTGATTTTAAACACTAAAAATAATTTTAACTATTTTAAAATTACTCTCAAATAAATCTTAAATCTTATTTTAAAAAAACTTAAAAAATAAAAATTGTAAAAACAAAAAAGAAACGAATAAGGAAAAGCAAAGAAAAGTGGAATTCTCAACTCCAATGAGTGTTGTTATTTTCCTATGGAGGCATCGGCTTGTCTCCAACAAAGACAAAAACTTTGGATAAGATAAGATGGAGGGAATATTATTATTATTTTAAACTTAGGTTTCATTGTCTAATTTTGAATTACGTGACGATAATGATAAAGTTTAAATAATAAAAAAAAAAAGAGTATGGCCAATTAAATAGGAAAACAACGTTTAATTTGCAGGTGTAACCATATAGTTAGCCTTCTTTTTAAGCCAAGATCAAACTCAGATTTTGAGTATGAGTGAGTCCTACTATGTTACAACCTGGTGAACCGGGCGTATTACTTTCCAACCTTTTGGAAAAAAACTTTAGATATAAGATACTAAATTAGAGTTAAGATTGCTGGGAAGGGTCGGGGACGAGACGTTTTAAGGTAGCTATGGGTCTCCTCATGTGGTGGCTCCACTTCCATTTTAGTTTTAGCTCGATTTGGAATGAACTTATAATTAGATTCTGAGGAAGAAATTAAATACAAACTATACACATATTTATGATATATTACGTAAATATGGGTATGAAAGGTAAAGAAAGGGTCAGCCATGGGCACCCATAAGTAGCTCCAATCCCACCACGTGTATCCCCTTCATGTCTTCTCCTTCTCCCATCTGTCTCTATATACACGCACCCTTCCCTCAAAATCCTCGTCGTCATTTCTCTTTTACCCGTTCACTCCCACCACCACCACCGCCACCTCCTTCTCACCCATGGCCGATCGTCCCTCAACCGCCACCGCCCTCATCCGCCGCCTCCAAGAACATGCACCCAACTCCCCGCAGCTCCTCGGCCTTCTCACCCTCTTCATCTCCGCCTCCATTCTCATCTTCCTCATCGGCCTTACATTCACTGCCGCCCTCATCACCCTCATCTTCCTTAGCCCTGTCATCCTTTTAACAAGCCCCATCTGGGCTCCCCTCGTCTTCTTCCTCTTCATCCCCGCCGTCGGGTTGCTGTGTCTGGGTGGCTTTGCGGTGGCTGCTGCAGCCGGGGTCTCGTGGGCGTACCGGTACTTCAAAGGGATGCACCCACCGGGGTCGGAGCAGGTGGAGTATGCGAGGAGCCGCATTTACGACACGGCCAGCCAAGTGAAGGATTATGCGAGGGAGTATGGAGGGTATTTGCAGAGTAAGGTGAAAGACGCTGCTCCTGGAGCTTGATTAACTAATTTGAAGAACAATGCCCTGATCTCAGGCGGCTGTTGTTTTTGTTTGATAGTTTAAGGCAGTAGTGTTTGGGCAGTGTGTTATCTTCCGAGTCGTTATGCTTTAGATTTATAAAAACAAAAATAAATCTAGTTTTTTTGTTTTTTCATTCAAATTATGTGCAATCATCAAACAAACTAATTATGTTCGAAAATTAATTGAAACACTTGCATATCTGATAAAATTGAGATAAAAATGGATGTTCGTAGCGAAATCTGATGGATATGACAAATTTAGGAGTACAAATTGATATACAAAATAGTGAGAATGGAGTAAGAGGAGAAGCGACAATCGCACTCTTCACCGTTATTTCACCAAAATCAAAATTTTAAGCCACCAGCCAGCCAATAGACACCATGGATACCATAAAAGTGGTATTTGGGTGCAAAAATGGATGAGGAAAACTCTGGTTGGTTTTACTTTTTCACAAGTGAATCATGTAGAACATGCTATATCACTGAATGTTTCTCCTCTGCAAAAACCAGCTGCATCACCTTGAATTGAACTGCTTTCTAAGTCATACCCATAGGAGGTGCTCTCTGCGATACTCGCGTACGATCACAGGCACGCTTGTTGCTGGGATCTGCAATCGAGCATGTTTAGGCAAGGACTGTACATATTATTTCAGCCAGTCGCGAAAAAAATGGAATTGCAAAGACTTTGTCGTAAGAGAAAAAGAAAGCAAGGTACAGTGAGTATTGGACTAGTTTTCGATTTTTCTTCCACTAAGAAGTGTCAGCAAATCTTGTTCGCTTTGGCTCGTTATGTTTCACCCACAGTCACCTTCATGGTTTTAAAACACATCAACTAGGGGAAGTTTTTACACCCTTGAAAACTTAAACCAACGTGAGATCTCACAATCCACCCCGCTGGGCTCTCACAATCCACTCCTTTGAGACCCAACCTATATGAGATTTCACAATACGTCAACTAGCCTCACGGGAAAATCCTTTTGGAACGAAACCAGTATTTTGGGTCAAAGGTGTGAGCTATAGATAAAAGGAAACTACAACACTTTCCATAATAGGCCCCATTACAAAACTTCTTGAAGAAGAAACATAGAATGTCTAAAAATAAATCCTTAGCAGTTCTACATCTTCTATGGCATAACAAACCATTGCGCTAATGCCACTCATATTTCCTTAATTCCTATAAAGTTCAGTGCCACGAGACCTTTGAAGTTTAGGTCATCATAGTGGCCTTTTTTTCTTTTTTGTAAAGTTTCGTTTTTGTATTTGAAGTAGTCTCTTTCACGTCCTTTCTTCGATAATTTCTAATCTGCTAAACGACCTTCAAAATTTTTTATTTTTCTCGACTTTGGTCTTAGAAAACATTACAGGAGATGACCGGCATAAGAGGTCTTCTTGTGCAATCTCACCATATCGGCATTATATTTGTGGGTCAGTCATCTTTTTTTTTCAAGTGATTCCTACCCCTAATTAATGGTATAAGCCCCATCAAAGTAATACCTGTCGTGTCTTTCCAATAGGCCCTAATTCCCTTTTTTATTTCTTTTGCATACATTTTTGGACTATCAAGTAAATGAACAACAAGAAATGACGTGTACATGCAGAGAGAGAGAGATATACACTCAGACTTACCATGCCATAATCTGTGACAATCATTGAGATGTAATCTGAAGGTGTAGCATCATACCTGTGACAGTATAAATACCTAGTTAGTACACATCCTTTCAAGACAAAAATAAAATAAAATAAAGAATATCATGAATCTAATGCGGATTTACATTAAATTCAGAAGTTGAAAATGTTCTTTAGAAGTCAGACTATCTAGATAACTAATATCAGCCCTTCCTGAAATCTTGGATATAGCATCTGGGTCGCCTGCAGGCAATTAGAAAGGGCTCAGAAATTGACCGTCCCCAATGGAAGGAAGAAAAGAAGGAAGGACAAGCACAAGAATACGTACCTAATTCATTAAAGCATATTGAATCAAGTTGTACCCTTTCATGAAATTTATATGCTTCACAGCAGAATAATACTGGAACATGAAATGCATCTGCAACCATGGCAATACCTGCAGTCCCCACTCTTGAATATACAGTTCCGTTAGCTAATACAGCAGCAGCACCCAGAAAAACACGGTTTACTTCACGCATCACATAGGAAATAGCATTTATATGAGTGTAAGTACAACTGAGGCCCTTTGCTATCAGCCTACGCAGCAATGCTTGGCCCTCAAGTTTTGGTCGAGAATCTACCACTACAACACGAAATTGTTTCCCAAGATCATGAGCATACAATAGAAGCATCTCTACAACACAGGGTGATCCATATGTGAGAAGAACGTCTCCATCCCTGATCTTCGTAGCAGCGTGTCTAACTATGACCTCATCAGCAAGCATTATCTTCTCGTTGATAAAACGACTGATATCTAGGGAAAGTGTAGCTTTCGCCTCAGATTCTAGAAGACTTGGTGGTAATTTGGCAATGCGATTTTTCAAAAATCTGATTGCATTACCCATGCTAACAGACAATGGCCTGCATTCATTAAAGAATGACACATAGACACCAATTTTTGCAGTTAAATCTCTAACGAGAGATTTCTGTGGCGGAGTTGAGTAGTCTTTAATAGCCTCCTGAAATGCATGGAGCATTGCTATACAACGAGCATTACCGCCAGATATATCTCCAGCCATGTATTGTAAACCAACCTAATAGAATATCGATATGTGACTATATAAGATAATCACTTGTCAGAGTAAATACACGGTAATATCATAAATTCTTAACGCAAAAGCAGTTCAGACATTCATCACATTAGCGTCTAAAGACTATCAATACACGATTCATAACGATATCTTCTGTACACACGTCTCAACATGTAAAATTGCAAAAAAAAAAAAAAAAAAAAAAAAGCATTTAAGCGAATGAAAAGAGAAAACTATGGTCATACATCAATTTCATGAGATTGGAAGTGGGGTAAAGCTAACTTAGGATGAGAAAAATATGAATGTTGAGAATATTGGTTTGGATATCAGAATTTTCAACGGACATTCTATTGGTAATTCTTTTAACAAAAAAAGGAAAATTAAAATACTCCGTTCTTCATATCTAGTAAAAGTTCCATCTCTTCCTGATTAAAAACAACTGTATTGTTTTGATCTCCTCTATTAAACCAAAATTTTATAGCACTTATGACCATACAGTTCATATTCTGTGATACTAACGCATATCATGAGAAAAAGAAATTTAGCCAATATTTTGTGCTCAATTTCAATCTAGAAGGTGATGCTTGGCATTATTTCTAGCTCATATGAAATCAAAAGCTATATTAGCTAGTTTCCACAAAATGCACCTTGTAAATGGCAGGATGAAAGGTATCGAGTTGGAAAAATTTTGACACAAGATCAGGAAGTTGAGTCCCCTGCTCATATTGTGGCAAATGGCGAAATAATGCAACCCTATTTCTTGCTTCAGTTTGATTAAACACAGCTCGCTTTTTAGCCCTTTCGACCCGATTTTTATCATCAAATTGCATACGTGGAGGGGGGGCATCTTTCTTCCTTTCTTTATCAACAATACGATCACCTCCTCTATTGTCAGCAGATGCAACTGAAGGTGTAGCAGGACCTTTAACTGTTGAAGGCTGTTTCCCAACTTTACCGGCTGTTGCCCCAGAGGCAGAACCTGACTTATTTGCCTCACCTTAAAAAAAAATAAATAAATAAAAATACCAACAATATGAGATAGTTAAATGAGCCAACTAAAAAATTTCTGCTATACGTAACCAGAGAAAAACTAAAGACGGTAACAACCAAGATTTATTAAATAAAATGAAGTGCCAATTAAAATGTTTGCGCATGGGAATAGCTAATGCAGGTGTTAAAAGCTAATATACACAACGAACGAAGCCAGTGAAATCAACATGCTACACTACGCTATAAAAGTGAAGTGAAATATAATGTAAATTACAATGCTCTTCATCTGCATACAGATGGCTTACCATCTAAAACCTTAAAGATGGAACTGAGAGAAATAAGGAACCTAATTGAACCTATGGTGCGCAAAAGCGTAAGGGTAATTCAGTCAATTAGCTCCGTATGGTGAATGCATGTTTGTGGGCTTACATATACTAAATGGTCATCTTGAAAAAAAACAAACTGAACAACTAAGTTGTTTCTAGTCCATTTTGATCGTTTGCACTTAATCCCATTTTGTAAGGGCATTAAAATTATTTCCTATCAACAGTTTCTTTTTCTTTTATTAAATTTTTGGGACGACAATCCTTATCAACTACAGAAATAGTATGAACACAAGGTAAGTTAAATGTAATTATTAATTTACTATCTGTCAATGAATCATTCAATTTTCTGTAGTTTAGTGATGTATTTATAGAAAAAAGTTCATGATCAAACTCCGTGGACTGGGGGCTGTTTACTGAAGAATTGTACCTTTTGCAGAAACTTTTGCTGCTCGCTGAGCCTCCTGTAAAGCCCGTCTTTCAGCCTTAGTAGTTTTTTCCTTCAAGGGTTTCGAACTTGAAGGAAGATGGTCTTTGGCCTCTGTGGATGCTCCTCCCATCTTTTCTGCAAGAGCTAATTTATCAAATTATGTAGAGACAAAAGCGTATATGAGATTTCAATTATATTTTTGGGGAGGGAAGCATTCATTTCTCCCTGTCTTCTATGCCAATGAAGGCGTAGTCGTGGAGATAACACCCAGGGGAAACAAACACCTTGGATTTTTCCATCCAAATAACAGCTGAGATTCATTCACTTAGCCCAAGTTTCATCCAACAAAAAATACCTCATGATTAGATATGCACTCCCTCTTCTAAAGATAGAAGTGAGTGAGAGAAATCTTTTTCGTTCTGGAAATACAATTTTGAACTTCCAGGAGATAACATGCGTTTGAGAAAAACTTCAACCAAAAAAAGCCATGTGTTGAGGAGAAAAACATGTTAGGTTCTTCTATCCAAAGCATGAATAACTCATAATTTTATATGCACTCACAAAAGCACCTTCGGTAATAAGCATACATGAAAGCCCCTACTCCTGACAAGTTGTGGTTGTTTATCCCCAAAAGCCTAACCAAATTAAATGCAAGCTCGTTATGGGTCAAGAAATTCACCAATAAGTCCAGTAGACAGAGATAAAAGCTGGGAACACGCATGAAGGTCTTTATAGAAGGAACTTTAAATGAACTAGAAACCACAATCAACCCCACAAGCTACTGAGTTCTTAGCTCTGCAGTGGTTCCTTTCAATCTAAATTAACTTACAAAATGGCGCTAAAGCCATTGAGCAATAATGCTCTGCCTTCTTTTCAAGGGACGGCAGGCAAGGCGTGAATAAATGGCCCATATCTTCCCCGTTCCTTTTACACAGACCACCAACTAGGAAAGAGACATCACCTGTCGCTTCAGCAGGCTTGTTAGTTCCCAATGTCCTCACACTATTGGCAGGCATTGTCTCCAAATTATCCCCCCGCTTAGCCGCCATGTAGAATCCAACGCCAGGGCAGCTAGAGGCTAACTTCCCCGAACCACTCCGCCGAAGCAAGACGGAGGCCGACGAAACCTCCGAGGATTCCAATTCTTCACCTGCAATTCGAGTCGAGGGCGACGCCATCGGCGACGATCGGAGCAGCATTTCTGAGGGATTGTGGCTCCCAACACGGACCAGGTCCTCAGGGTGCCTCCAATTTCCAGCCGACCGGGAGGAAAGGTTGTCGGAAGGGTGACGTGGAGGCGGAATCATTACAGGAGACAGAGAATTACTGGTCGGAGAGTCGGGGAGCAGTGAAGTAGTGCAGTCGGGCGGAGTGGGAAGGGCCCCACCCGGAGAATGCGGGGCGTCGGGGGTGAAGAAGCCGACCTGCCGAACTTTGGGGTCGATGACGACGCGAGAGGCTCGGCGGGCATCCATGACGGCGGAGGTGGCAGTGGATCGGAAGGGTGGAGTGACGAGGAAAGTCCAGAGATAGCAACAACAAAAGAGTCAGCGGGTTTACCGCGGGTGGGTGTAGGGTTTTGGGCGCACAACTTTTCGTTTCGGGGAAGATGGATTGTTCTTTTGCGGATTTTGCAAATAGCCCCCCATAGTTTTATAAAATATCACTCTGCCCACATATGTTTCAGGACATTTCGATATTAATTAAATCTATTTTTTATTTTAATGAAGTGAAAAATAACACATAAAGATTTTTTCAAATGGATTATTGTTTCTTATCTAAAATTTAAATAAATATAATTTTTTTTTATATTTAAAATTATTGATCTAGAGGATTTTGTTTAAGAGTCGCGTAGTTATGAACCAATCGACCGTGTAGTTAAAATATGCAACGGAGATGGAAATAGACAATTCTCCTGTACTTTTTCGATAACATCAAAGAACATCCTTTATGGATCCTGTGGCCATCGAGATGGTGACTAAAATGCCCTAAATTTTAAGCTCATAGACATGCATTATTCATATTCATAAGGTGCCAAAAAAAAAAAAAGAAGAGAGAGCTTAAATTCACTGTTTGGGAGCGTTTCAGGTTTCAGGCTTCAGGCTTCCTAAGAAGGTAACCGGGCAAAGGGCTGGCACGTGGCGAACGGAAAGGGGCCTCGTTCACCTTGTTGCCGTTACTATCGTAGTAAATTACACCCGGGAAATCCAACGGCTGGCATTTGTCTCCCATCAAGATCCCCCTCTGCCAAACGCCAACACGGCCCCACTCTTTTTCTTCTTCATCGTCCTCCTCCTCCGGTCGTACACCTCGCCGGCTGGTCTTTTTCTTGCGAAACAAAGTCATCGCCGATAGGCTAATCGTCTTCAGCATGTCCTTCGGCCGAGCCAACGTCGCCCCCGGGCTCGGCTTCCACTTAAGCTTCTTGGTGATATGGGCGGCTTTTTTTGCGCAGAGAACGACCAGAACTTTAACGGACCGGAGGAGGCCGGTGGGTAGGCTATTGGGCACGGTGCAGGAGTTGGCGAACGGAGGACGTTCCGGCGTGGGGGAAGCCATAATTAATTTAGAGGGAAATGAAGTGTGAATTGAAGCTTATGGAGGCTAATTTATTTATAAAGAGATGAACTGAAAATTTTTTGACCCGCAGGTCCTCGGATTTCACCGTCCGTGGTCAACTCTCCCTGTTTTGCAACTGTTCCATTCAAAAAGCTGATTGGCTCATATATTTGGACAATTTTTTTTATTTTCTCACCATATATTAATATAATATATATTCTGCTAAATTTGATTTGAGAATTGCAATTGAATTAAAATAAATATATTGCAATAACTATTTTTGCATTAATATTATAATTTTTTTATTAGACAGTAGTTATCTACTATAATTAAAGATTAAAAAAATTAAATACCAAAATGTAAACATTATATTTTTTTAACAAGATGTTTGAAATTTAGCCCTGGACTAAAAATATATATTTGTTATTTATTGTTTAAATATCAATATTCCAAAAAATGGAATATAATTAAATATTATGTCAACCTACTATATATATATATATATAATTTTAAAAAAATGAACAAATCAAGAGTTGCCACGTATACAACACAAAGAAAGAAGCGCAACAGTGAGACGCCAATTTGATATTGAATTGAAAAGTGTGTCCAACAAAACGATCGTTTGGGGGAAATAAGAAATTTTGAAAATCAAAGAGTTTTTATAGAGTTCTGTATAGATTTTTAAAAAGATGATCAACATTCTTTCGAAATCCATCACATACTTGATCAAATAACAAAAATCCTCCCAGAAATGTGTTTGTTGAAAAATTTTGAGTTGAAATTGACAAAATAAATGCAAGAATTCCGTAAAATTTGACCTAGCTTGAATCGATCTTAGAAAACTTCGTAACTTCCATTGCCGATTTCCGATTCTGTTTACACAGATATTCCGGCGATAAAAATCAGATGAAATGCATAAATTGAATCGAATTCATTGAAAGTTCTTCATCGTACTCACCGACGCGATGAAATCCGTATACTCCGAGTGGAAGAAGAAGGAAGGATGGCGCCGCGAATTAGTGTGAAAATGCTGATGCTCCGATGAAGGTCGATTGAATGCTGTGAAATTGCAGGGAATGAAGAGGAAGACGACGATTGGAGATCTTCACAAAACCCTTCCTGCGACGAACGAGTGACCGGAGAAGAAAAGCCCATTCCATTTTACAAAGAAGCCCGGCCCAATACGAGAAAGATAATTGAAAAAAAAAACTGAATTAATTAATTAATATTAATTATTTCCTCCTAATGATGCAATTCTCAGTCCTTGTTTCACGCGACGTGCCGTGTCCTCACAGCCATTTCTTGATTCATTTTTGTTAATAATACAATAATTTAATTAGCTCTTCTTTTTATAATTAATTAGAATTTCACGCAAAGTAAATAAAATAAGAACAATAAATTAGAGCAATAATTGGATGAATTGGGTGGTGTTCTAATATACACATACATATAATTATTAATTTTCTTTTTGTATTTGATGAAGAAAAAAATGGAATGGTGAACAAAGATGATTACAACATGAATACACATAATGATATAAACCATGATAATATATAAAGATTGAAAATTTCAAAACCAAAAGAAAGAACCTCTCTCAATCTCAATCTCAATCTCAATCTCAATGGTGCAATGGGTTTGGACCAGAAGGGACGAGTCGTTTTTCGACGCCATACCGGGGATCGATCTCCGCCGCAGCTGGGGGAGAGCCGGCGCCGAGAGGGTGGGCATGGGTATGGGTGTGGTGGTGGTGGTGGTTGTGACGGTGGTGAAAGGTGGTGAAGTCAAATTTAGCAGACAAGAGCTTTCTGGAATGGGAAAAAGATGGGGTTTTTGGAATGTTGTGAAAGGAGAGGAGGAGGAGGAGGAGGAGGAGGAGGAGGGGAAGAGGGAAGAATTTGGAGAGGTTTAAAGGCATAATTAATAATGGTGTGGAGGGTGGGGAGAGGGAGGGGAGAATGGGAGGGAGAGGGATGCATGGAAGAAAGAAAGAAAGAGAAGGAGAGGATTAAGAAATGGGGTTTAATTCTGGGAGTTTGAAAATAAAAGGTTGACTTTTGGACTGTATTTGTAGAGAGAGAAGACGATGATGAAGAAGATGAAGAAGAAGGGAGACAAACTGTCTCACAATTCTTGTTTCAATGACAACTTCCTTTGCGTTCAAGGAACTAACCCTCATTTAAAGCAGATTGTCAAACTTTCAATATTATATTGAGAATATATATCTTCAATTGATTTACAATTTAATTTATGTATCTTCAATTTTATAGTCATTTTGTTTTAATATTTAATTAAAAATTTTATATGTATAGATTAATAAATTAATCGGGACCAAATGTGTTTATAAACTACAAATATAAAGTTATTACAAAACAAAACCTTACGCCTAATCTTTTATATATATATAGATAGATAGATGTAAAGACTAAATTGTTATAAACTTTAAAATATAAGGATTACAAATTGTTATTTTTTTAAAGAAAAAAATGTTAGCTAAAATGAATAATTGGCCATAATAGATTAAATAAATAACAGAGAATTGATATATACAATGATTTTTTTAAAAACCATATAAAAATGAATAGTATTTATATAATCTCAGGCCAGCAAAACATGTTCAATTGTTTTTATAATCTGCAACTAGAAGTCGTGATTTGTCTCTTCCTTATAATATAATACACATGTATAGTGTCTCCAACCCCATTTGACCAAACCTTCCAATTGGAAAGAAAACAGTTTTTTTTAGAAGGAGGTAGAAATTTCTCCCTAGTAGATGAGTTTTAACACCGTGAGATTGACGGACTGAGCCAAAACAGACAATATCTGCTATTAGTGGACTTGAGCCATTATAAATGGTATTAGAGCTATGCATCAAACGATGTGCTAGAAGACGCTAAGTCTCAAAGGAGAGTGAATGGTAAGATCTCACATCAATGAGAGAGAGAAATAAGTGTCTGTAAGGACACTAGGCCTAAGAGGTAAATTGTAAGATCCCACATCGGAGAGAAAAACGAAACATTCTATAAAGGTGTGAAAACTTCTCTCTAACAGACATATTTTAAAACTAAGATTGACGATGATACATAAGGAATCAGAAACCAATACCGACCATATTTGCTGGCAGTGAATTTTGGTCATTACACCATCGTCAACAAAGATCCAATATGATTGAGTGTGCAAACCCAAGTTCCGAAGCAAAATATTTCTTTCTGTTAAAAAACAAAGCACAGCCCCTTTTCTTCCGGAAGTGGGAAGATGACCTTTGAATGGCTTTCTTTCAAAATCACTTTGTCGGCTAAGCTCTCAATATCATGCCTTCATATCTTATCACTAGAAAATATTGACCATTCGATCATTCACCACGATGTAAATGGGGGAGACAATTCTTATGCAGAAATGTCGGCATCGGTTGGGAAAAACTGATGGGATGAGGAAGGGGAAAGTCAAATCACCCCCCCACCTAGGACGACTTTGCTTAAACTACAGACACCTTCCACCTAATAACACTCGGAGTTCACATTTGGAATATCAGAGTCAGAAGGGATAGCCTTGATCCTGATGGCTTGAGGCTTTCCTACTCATATTCCTTCTGTTCTTTCCAGCTAGTCCACTACATGGCTGAGAAGTTGAGCAACCTCCCTCTGTCCTGAAGGTTGATAATAAGAATAAAGCAGGGAGAGAGGGCAACATATGAAGAAGATATACAAGATCCAGAGCAAGGTAATTTGTTGAAATGACTAAAACAATGTCTTCTTAGCACTGAACTATGTAAAAAGAAACCGTTCTTAAAGGATTACCTTCGAAATTGTCCCATGCTGCTGCAATCTACAGATAAACAACATGGTGACTCTAATAACCCACTAAGAAATGTTACAAGAAATTGTGATCTGACGACAAGTGTTAATTGTTACTGTAATCAATGTAAATATAAACATACAAATGACGCACATGCATTATGCAATGTTTAAAAAGATATTAATTTATTATGTTCAGTTGTTTCTACAGGGAGAGTAAGAGAAGAAAATGTTTGGCAATCGTTGTCTTTATTCCTAAGCTTCTCCATCAACTAAAAAGGTAAAAGCTACTATAAAATATACCGTATTGCTCCAATAGCAAGTTTGCACACGGGTTCATCCCTTAATAATTTGGTAACAGATGGATTGACATTCCTTTCTTCTTTCATCTTAATCGATGAGTGATAAATCGATTAATATATATTTTCGTTCATCTTTTCTTCCAACACTTCAATTCATCGGAGTGGCCAAGATGAAATATCAGCAGAAAATCAAGCAATTTAGGGTAGGGATCTCTACAATCGGCTCCAATATAATAAGGAACACGGCTGCTCAAGATTAATTGCAGAGCTCCTACCTCAATTTATTAAGCCCTTGCAGATGGAATAAAGGTATGACCTTGGTCAGATTTGGGTTTCAAATTTCTCTGTCTCTTCAACCTTCCTCCCAATCCACATCATCTTCTTCTTCATCATCCTCTACCGAAGCTGATGCTTCAACGTTCAAGTCAACCTTGTAGTTTTCATTTGCATTACCTGTAATAAGGAATGAAAGTTAAGGGACTAGGTGATTGGAGGCAAGCATCATCTAGTAATAGACAGTTGAATAGAGTCGAACCAAAAAGAGGTTATTCCCAGACACAACTTTTACCTTAACACACAAAATATGCCATAATCAATTAAAGAAAAGTTTTACTAAACTGTTAATTTCAACATCTTTATAAACTTAGTCTAGGAAACATAATCAAATCTAATGTAAGACTGAAAAATCAATAATTGAGAACCTAAAGCATTTAGTCACTAAATGCCCTCCGAAAAACACCAAAGTAAGGTCGACACACAACTTTGAAGCCACTATTCATTTGAAAAGCCAGTCTGGTATGACAGGGCGTAAGACAATAAGATTGTGATTGCAATTTGTAACCAATCAAGCTATTTTTTAATAGAAATAATCAATTAAGTTTTGAAACTAGTAAGTCAGTCCACAGTTCCAAACATAAATAATAAGTAACATTTAAGTAACATGAAACATAAAATTCATACACAAAATCCCTGATAAACTTGGAACGATATAGGGAAGATTAGCAAGGCCCCTACAAAAGGATGATAGAATTCATACGCAAAAGAAAATGGTGATTGCCAAAAAGCTATTTCTCAAGCTAAAACATTTCTTTCTCTAAATCCATGCCGAATATGGAGACTGATAAAGCATATGACATGTTTATGTCATTTACTAATTTATGGTACTATCAAGGTACTAATACAGTTATACTGCACGGCAGAGTAATAAACAGATATGAACATCATAAAAATTTAAAATGTCAAACATGGAAAAAAAAGAAAATAATGACTCACCCCCTGTTGGAGCCTCCTCCCACTCAATATCATCATCATCCTCTTCTTCACGTTTTGCCTTCATTCCCACCTGGCGACTGGAATTTGTGTTATTTTCTGTAACCTCAGTGCTGGAAATATTCTGTTCACTCTTAGCAGCTTCTTCAAGCTCTTGTTGCTTCTTCAGTATAGCAGCATAATAAGCTTTAACATACTCATCCTACAATATAGTCAACCAGTACATCAGATCATGTATTCTCTTTTTATTTGACTTTGGGATAAAAAAGCACTTCAGAGTTAAGAGTAAGAAATGAAAAAAGCTAATCTAATTGAACAGGCCTGTATATTCGTTTTATCATCATCATTGACCGATGACTTTTTATCATCAAAAAACTGAGCAGAAGCTGAACCAGCATCCATCTTCGACTCCTCTTTGACCTCCCCACGTTGTTCCTTCGTGAGGTTCATTCCTTTCTTGATCATCCAAGGAGGTAAGACTTTCAGACTCGTCTCAGATTCAGATTTAACATCTGCTCCCTTGCCATCAGCCCCAGAAAAGGCAACTTCAACCTAAAAGGTAAATTCAAGAACTCATCGACTGTTAGAATGGTGACTTTCAAGATCCAACAATATAACAGGATTAAGGCAAAAAATGGGATACCTTGGTCTCACCAACAAAAGGCATTGGTGCTCCCCCATATCCTAAACCTTGTGACGATTTTGAAGGATCATTGCCATTCAGATCACCATTTGCACGTGCAGCTGCACTTGCATGAGCTTCCCATGCTAAAAGAGTTCCAAATTCT